TGCTGACCTTGAGGACTCAAGGAACCAGAAGTCGCCGCTAAGGAAAAGGAAACACCTTATCCATAACACTTGCACATCAATGTGCTTTGTAATAAATGACTGTACTAATCATTCAGCATACTTTAAACCTAGCATCATGTTGTAATATTTAGATAATTGATTATATGAAGCTATTACTGAGAATGCCAACCTGGTGGATGACTTCTTCCGATGTCTTGGTTCGTCTGGAATTATGAAAAAAGGTGATAATACGTTACCCTATTAATTCATTAAGTTCGTGAACAATACTGTTAATGTGTAATATCAGCAATAGTTTATATTGTTGATAAAGCAAATAGGTAGATTCCTAGTACAAAATGAATTCAAACTGACAAAGTGCGAGTAGTAAGGTTTAAGTACGAAATGTCTATTGATAATCATCTATAAAAAGATATTTTAATGAACTTTTAATAAAATAACTGAGTACGCGTGTATTTGTAGGTTCAAATTTTATTTATGGAGGTATGTAAGACTTAATAAGCTTTATACTTGAGTTAAGCTTAAGTAAGCTTATAAAGTCATCTTAAATGTAAATGTAAATGTTTTTCTTACCAGTTCCTCTCTACCTGCACTTGCATTTTCACTTATAAAAAATAACATAGTATTTGTGTAAAAACGAGAAATACCAGGATTGTTCAAGAAAAAAAAACAAAGAAACGATGACACTAAATTGCCATAATACGTTTTAGTAAGCTTACCTCGAATTCATTTCTTTTTTCTGAGAAGGCAAAATAAAGATAGTGCTTACACAAGGTAACAACATAATTTGAGTAGAATAAGTTGTAAATACATCTAAAAAGGTTGTGAGTGCGAGACTAATGAATGCGAGTACCTTTTGTAAACTTTTCTGCTTGTGAGAACCTTAGGCTTGCCAATGACCTCTTTGCAAGTCATAGCATTTAAGAATAATGTGTTGTGAAGGTGAAGTACTTATCTTGGTGACAATACTTCTGTTTCTGATAAAGGAGCTTATTTAGCTTAATAAGGGAAGCCAAAAGGGACTGTAAGGAGTGAAAGGGTCTGTTGGTGTGAGGGAAAACAAAACGATGTCAGGCAATCATAACAAACAATCCATGTAGTCGTTGACTTGGCTATCAACTGAAAATAGAGGATGTCGCCAATTTTTTTAGTTGAAAGAGTGACCCTACCATATGGGGACCTTGGTACCCTCTTTGGGATCCAACGTGGCTTCAGGGAAGTAATTTTATGTAACTTAACTGTCCTTATTGCCAAAGAACCACTTATTTTTAAGGAATTTATTACCTCTATGTTTCACTTTTGGTGGCTGTCTAAAATAATGGCTTAAAATTTAGCATCCTCTCCCAAAATTAAAGCATACAGGCTAGTGAGATCATTTATCATTAGCTCTTGCTCTTGATTTGAAATTAAGTCTATCTGGGCGTAAAATACTTAGAATTTGAGTTTTCAGTCGTGTCAAAAGATTTCAAGTAGCTGGAGAATAAGAGAGAGTAGGTGGCATTGAGGGGTAGAGGACCCCACCAGGCGAGGGGTCTGGGGGCCGCCTAGACCCCCAATGGGTTAAGGGGGTGAGGTGGTAAAGCCCTTGGGAGCAAAACAGATTTGCCGTTTTCACACTAGCTGAAATTGGCTCTTCTGAGAGCAATGCTAACATGAAAAGTATCTGTTTTTGAATGAACATTTTCAGCATTTTTATTGTCCATTTCATTATTATCTAAGATGCCATGTCATAGTACATGTTAGGTCCATATATTTTAGTTTACAATGGTAATGTCTACTATTTCACAGTAGGACGTTTTATAACAATAAAAGATCATTTCTTTAGTCTGTTAAGAGTGACACTGTGATTAAATTCACTTTTATAGATTCTGTATGGGTACTTGTGTTCAATCAAATAATTTATCATATTCATAAGGAAACAGAAGGATCCAAATAACTACAATATTCACAATTGTGTCAACAGAAACCAATTCAGTAATGCTATAACTAGATTTATGAAGCACTTTATAAAAGGTACCAAAAAGCATGACCACTTTCAGTCACTCTCAATTGCTGAATCATAATCAGGGTCTGGAAGAGCAATTGTATAGGCAACAGCTGCTGCTTCTTCTGCAGAAGCTTCCAAATTTGTTTTAAGGCTCTGATCTGGAGTGGCAATGCCTGCCTCTTCTTCTTCTTCAGCATCACCTATTAAGAACTGTTCATCCCCCTGAGTTTCCTTCTAAACCACTCGATGTGGGGTTGATCTGTATGCAGTCAGCATGTCCTGTATTCTATTGTCTTTCTAAGCCATCTTTTCCTGGCAGGTGTGCAATCTGCTCTGGCTTGTTTAACATTTGCATGAATCGCTCAACTTCGGTCAAATCCTTTTTGTATAGCGACTTCTTGGAAATCTTTTGAATGAAATGGTGGTCGCCCTCTATCATCTTTGGGTTCCATAGGTTGCAAATATGTGCTTCAGTCTCTTCTTCTGGAAACTCATCGTGGTTATTCAAAGGGATTGCTGTGATAAATTGATTGAATGTTTAGTGCTTTTCTTAAGGACCCAGGAAATTAACATGGGAATCAATAAACCATAATCAAACAATCTGGGACAACAATTTCGTAAATTATATATCGTTATCTCTCTTTGATAGGAAGAGTCCCTTAGATTGCAATAACAGTCCTTTGTGCTCGTGTATGATTCCTACCTGATCTTTTGAATCACCTGTAGCTTTGGTATCTCCAGGCCTTCCTCTTCGTCCCGGACACACCTGAACCCCTCTACTTGCCCTTTTACCATGCAGTCGTGTCACTATCGCAAGACAACAAAGGAAGCATCCTGTTTCTTGCACTGCCCATGACGTGGCATGGCACTGGTCACTTACCTCTTCAAAGGTATGAAGTGCCATCATAAAATTATCCTGAAACAGTTCGCTATCTAGAATTTCGAACACACCTGATAAAAAATACAAAAAATTCCAGCAAAATGGGAGGGGGATTGGATGGGAATGTGGTTCAGTCCCCACACTCTCCAAGTCCAAAATGACGTTGAGAACAAAGTTACATACATGAACTGAAAGGTCTATTATAGTAGAGGTCATGGTCAAATTCACTTGGCAGCACAATTTACCAGTGGGGTCTTATTGCACTTTCAAAATGCCCTCTGGAAGGCTGGATTTTTGGTGCTCAAGGGCAAAAAATGAGACACACCCCCCTGTAACTCCAAAACTAAAAGTCAGAGAACTGAGTCAAAGTGGCTTTTGAAATATGTGATCACACCCAACGTCTGTGCCAAGTTTCAGCCAAATCAGTTGACCACAACTTTTGGCCCCTGGAACACTTTTTCGGACAATGACGCTTGAACCAACAATTGGAACACCCCAGCCCTACTCAAGTTTTAAGTACTAATTTTGTACCTTGAGGAGGATTTTACTTCC